CCCCAAAACCCCAAAACCCCAAAACCCCGCAGCCATTACATATACTGATAAAAAGGTAAAATTAAATGTGATGATGAATTAGATATTATTTGATATTAACCTGTCAGGTCATGAAATCAGTTGATTGTGATCAAATGTCGTACTTTCTGATTTGAGTGCCGTTGAAAGATTCAAGAGCAAGCAAGAGAGCTTGAGTTCCCTTTCTCTCAAAGCCTTAAGCACCAAGAGCCTGATAGAATTACGAAGCTAGGGCAAGACCTGGTAAACCAAGTTTCATTCTTCTGGCTTCCTCGAGAGCAATACCGAGATCCTTGATGAAGTGCTCAACATAGAACCCTGGTTCAAAGTCTCTTCTGAGCATTCTTGGAGCGAGCTTCTCTAGTGAGAAACTTCCAGCAGCACCCTTGCTCAATAGTAAGATCATTTGATTTAGATCCAATCCTGCTTTGTGACCATAGATTAAAGCCTCGCAGGTACCAACCATAGTGTTAGCGATCATGATCTAGTTTGCCATTTTTGTGTGTTGGCCAGCACCAGCTGCACCCATGTGCTAGACCTCAGCAGAGAAGCACTTGAGGATGTCGTGAGTTTGCTCAACAGCCTCTTTCTCTCCTCCAACCATAGTAACTAAAGCTCCATTTCTAGCACCGATATCTCCACCACTCACTGGAGCATCAAGAGATCTAACTCCTCTTAGCTTAGCGGCTTGGAAAATTTTCTCTGCCAGACCTGGACTACTAGTAGTGTGGTCAATCAAGACTGATCCCTCCTTCATGTGCTAAAGGATACCAGTTTTCTCATCCAAGACGACTTGCTCGACATCATGTGGGTAGCCAAGCATTAAGAATAACACATCTGAGTTGGCAGCCAAATCACTGGGCTCCTTAAACTCAGCTCCATTCTAGATCAATTCATCAGCCTTGCTGGCAGTTCTAGTGTAAATAGAGAGTTTGTAGCCGTGCTTTAATAAGTGACCACACATGGATTTGCCCATGACTCCTGTTCCAATCCAGCCAATTCTAATAGCAGCTTTGTCCATATTAAAGATATTTAAAAGATTAAGATATTGATTATTTAGTATTACAAAAGTTCAAAATTAAAATCATTTCTCTATTATGTTTTTATTTATTGTTAAATTAATTTAAAATGTTTGATGACAACAGCGAACAGTAAGTTAAAGAAGCATTAAATTTGGATTAACTGAAATCTGTTATTAGAGATCTTGAATCATTGAGAAGAGAGGATTCAGCTAACCACAATGGAGACTCTGAAGATGATTCTGACACAGAGCGATCTATGCGCTCAGACGACTCTTAAATCCTCCAACGCCTTAAGAAAAAGCAGAAAAATCTTTAAAAGGAGGAGATAAAGTAGGGGTTGAAGCAGGAATATGAAAGTAATCAACGACATTATCAAACTCTTTTTTCATGTCAATTAAGAATAGGAACGCAGAGGTAAGATGAATGTCGCAAGAGGCTCAGTGCTGATCAATGAAGACATGCCGCATCAAGAGGTTCAGAACAGAGATATCTTTGAGTCTACTGACTACAAAGCGTTTTTTGATAACTCAGTCAAAGAGGAATTCGAGGAGTTCGTGTACTTGATATCAAGGGGAAAGTATGAAGAAGTGTTACAAGAGGCAGAGAACATTGAATTGAAGATGGATTAGGAGTTGAGGCCAACTGGGGATAACATTGTTCATGTATGTGCTGAATATGGCTAGGTTAGATTATTACAGCATTTTATCCAGAAGGGTGGCAACTATCTGTCAAGAAACTATGTAAGCTTCCCTTTACAAGGTAAACCTATAGGCAGAGGAATAACCGATGCATGTGGCAGCAAGAGAAGGCAAGGTGGATGTGATTAAGTATTTCCTGGAGTTTCATAGAGATAAAATAGAGGTTGACTGCAAGATGATGGACAACTGGACTCCATTTTTCTATGCAGCTGTGAACGGATACTTGCTCACAGTGGATGTGTTAGCTAAAGAAGGAAAATGCAATGTTAATCACTTGGATAAGTTCAATAGAACTGCATTACACTGGGCGGCTAGATATAATAATGTTGCTATGGTAAGAAAGCTATTGGATCTAGGAGTAACCTATGATTTGAAAGATGTAGAAGGTCTAACTGCTTTTGATCTGGCTAAATAGAACAGCAGCTATGAAGTGGCTCAGATGATCAGCCAGCATATGTAAAAATACTCCAAGGATAAAGATAAGAAGGTCACTAGAGATAATTATAAGGAAAAAGAAAAAGATTGAAAATAATAGAATTTGTTGACTACTGATATTGGTTGATAGATATTTTAACAATAATGATATAATCATAAAATAAACTTAAAAATCTCACATCATATTAAACTTATGAAGTTTTATGGGGTTTTGGGGTTTTGGGGTTTTGGGGTTTTGGGG